CCTGGCATGGACTCGTGGACTGGAGTGGCCTCAGGAGGAGTAACAGAGCAGTGAGTAGCCCAAACACACAGGATGGTGACCGCCATTACAGGGAGCACTGAGCCTAGGGGAACAGTCTCTGTGATGACTCGTTCTGAGACCCTTGGGATGCCTGCTGCTCGCACCGACATCAGCGGTGAATCCTCCACACTGGATGCCAGTCTCGGACGCCTTAGGACTGACCTTGAGGCACTGGGCATGGTTGACATGATGTAAAGAGACTCTGAAACAGCGGCCATGACGAGACAAGACTCTGGAATAGCGGCCATGACGGGACGAGACTCTGGAACGGCGGCCATGACGGGACGAGACTCTGGAATGGCAGCCATCTTGTGCAGAGACCCTGGGCTGGCGGCCATGATGTGATGGGATTCTGGAGTGGTGGAAACTGTGGGAGTACTGCATTCCTCCTCCACGACTCCCACAGTAAATTGAGAACCACTTAATTGCAACGCCAGATCAATATAATATTCTAGAATCCAATTAGGGTCATGAAGTGGCATACGGGAGCGGAGCGGCTCAGAAAGTCCTTCACGAAAAAATAGCATTAAACATATCTAGTGATGCAGAAGTGAAGCGTTCTGAACCAGCGAAGCTTTCAACACAATTGTATCGGAAAAAGGTTCATTACTCGAAGCTTTTTAAAACGGTTTATGCTGTGGCCATAATTTACTGGCACTAAAAATAAGTAAAATAAATAAAACAGAAAATCATAAATTAAATCTATGATCTGTTTATTTTAACTCTGCCTCAGTCCTTAGACTGTTATTTCATGGCCAAAGTTCATTTTTGAGCTCAATATATAAATTACGATTAAAAAATAAATGAAAAAACAATGCTAACACATTATAATGTAATATAATGTAAAGGAAACGGTGCTGAGGTTCGCTTCGTTTGAACCAGATACTGAAACAGTCACGTGGTTTTCAGGTGAATGAAGCTTCGGACGTCATACAGGGTTTCTACGGTGTCTTAAAAAGTCTTACAATTAGTTGTATCAAATTTAAGGCCTTAAAAAGTCTTAAATTGTACAAGAAAGTCTTAATTATGATTTCAAGAGGTCTTACATTTGGGGATGGAAAGACCAGAATTGCGATATGCTGAATGTGACGATTAAACTTTAAAAGGCTATGATTTCATGAGCGCTGTGCCTGCACGTTCAAAGTCCGGTGCTACACTGCTTTGTGTTCTGCCGTTACCGGGGAAATAGTTATAGGTCTGCCAAAAGCGTCACCTGCTGGCAGAGAATGAATGTGCATTTTCAATAAAACTGTTGTTTTTTTAGATTTCACGTTACTCAAGGTCGTTGAGTGTTGAGATTGTTTCGATTTCAGACAAATGCAAAAATCGACCCATGCTTTTACCCTGCAAACACGCAAAGCTGTGAACTGGTAGGTCGATAAGAAGACAATGCATTTTAAAAATCTAAACAGTATAGGGGTACAGAGTGCACGCATACATTACGTGAAGAAGTCTAACTTAGTAGTTTAGACTAGTGCGAGTGCGCATTTAGAGTGCGTTCTTTCACCGCATGAATCAGTCTATTAAAATGCATTAGAATGATCACATAATTCAAGACATGGGGCAGAAAATTTATATATTTATATCAATTCATTTAGTTATCACACGAAGAGTGATGCTTTTCTCTCCAGAAGTCAGCATGATTACAAATGTGATATTGATTTTATACCTTTTCATTTTTAAAATAATTTCAAACATCAGTTTCAATGTTTTATGTTTAATATATCAAAACATTATTTATGCATTTGTAACTGCAGATTAAATATAGAAGCTCAATGCGGAGAAAATCTTGAATGGGTTAAAACTGAAACCAAGCCATTCACACAGAACGCATATTAAGCGTATTTTTTAGACGGACAAACATGACTACTGCACTCATGTCTCACACAAGAGATGTATAGAAAGCCATGCAAAGTTAAAACAGTTTAAACTTTTAGAAAACACGTCACGAATTTGTGTAGGTTTATCAATTTTCACTGTGTCCCATATGTTTTTAAATGCAGTCTGTATGAATGGCGCTTCGGCTCTTTGGATTAAGCAATGCATAAATACATGATACTGTTTTGTTCAATTAGACCTATACAATAAAGACCTATTTAATCTGCATATAAAACATTAGAAATTAGATATTTGTTTAATTTTTATAGTATAATATATGATAATATATGATAGATGATAACGGACTGTTATCGGGGGAAAATCAGCGGGTGATCAGCACTCGTCAATCTTTATGTGTGAACTACTCAACGACACATCAAAGAGACACGTCGCCGACGCCTCGCAGACGCCAAACAAATATCTAGCATGCTAAATATATCTGGGGCCCATTTAAATAAGGAGGTTCAACCAACCCTGAGATGGGAAACTCTTGAGTTTTCGGGTTCAGAACAGCTGAATTGAGTTAGTTCAATCGACTCTGAGTAGGTTGACTCTGAGTTTAGCGTGTGCACCACGACTATGAAAAGCCGTGATCAATGGAGCTCCGAAATTATGATTCACCATGGCAAAACAGTTCTTAATAACTGTTATAATATAAAAGGTAAAAAGTGGCAGAATGGTAAATTATTTAAGTAATATTAATTTCAATCCTACAGGCAAAAGAAAAAAAGAGAAAAAGCAGCTAAAATGAAGTATAAAAACATAATTCAATCAAGGTAAAGCTTTAAGCATAAAAGGTTCATGAGTGTAGGCTACATGACTTTACAAGCATTTGACATTAAATAAATATAATTCAGGGTCTATTTTAGTGCGCTGCAGCTTTTCCCATACAGTTTAATGCTCTTTTCACATAATTAAATTGTTGCATTTCTTAATTAGAGTAAATGAAATTAACATCTGACTTCTACTCAGCCAACAGCAAGAAGGCTCGTAAAAATAATGAACAGATGAAGAGGAGATCGCCACAATACCAAATATTGGAGGAATATTAAAATCCAACTGGAAAAAGAATAACTGTTGCTTTTGTATTTGTAGGTAATAAAGATGACCAAATAAATTTAACAGCTGTGGTGGTGGTTACGGCAGATATCTCAAACTACCCTTCCATCTGGCATCATTCCATTCCATACAGTAATCAGCTTAATTTTCGATGGGGTTGTGCTCAGAAAACTACACAAATATTATAAGAAAGAGCGTGACAGCGAGACACACTTTCCTCACCGCTCTGCATACAGCGGCCTTACTAATGTGCTCTGCATCCCTGATGTTATATAGAAAATTACCATTTAAACATGGTACCGCTCAAATAAATATGCATGTGGATATGGCAAAAAAAAAAAAATCCTCTCCTGATGTACAGTAAATGTAACTCCCTACGAATTAATGTAGCCTCCTCATCTACAGGATTCAGTATAGGACATGCCGTTTTTGTCACTTTCACAGTGTCTGTATGATGAAAATATGTGCAATGAATGAATGTACCAGTACTGCAAAAAATGCTTTTCTTAGTATTTTTGTTTTGTTGTTTCCAGTCAAAATATCTAAAGATTCGTAAATCAAGATGCATTTTCTACATAAGAAAAATTACAATGTATTTAGTCTTTTAAGTGTATTTTTCTTATTTTGCAAATTATCTGCCAATGGGGTAAGAAAAATAATCTTGTTTCCATTTGCATTAATATTATTCTTTCCTGTTTTAAGTAAAATGCACTTAATTTAGATTTCAAAATACTCACTAAGAAAAGCATTTTTGCAGCATGAATGAATGAGGTATTTAAACATAGCTTACGCTTTAAAAAGCGGGAGGAGACCGAAAGAAACTCTGGATTTAACGTAGAAAACCTGGGGCCCATTTCAGAAAGGAGGTTAAGTGAAAATTCTGACTATGTTAACCCTCAAATGAGGGAAACTCTGGGTTTTCCGTTTCAGAATGGGAGGTATGTCAAACCCGAGAAAGCAGGGTAAGTCAAGCCCGTTTCTGAAAGGAAGGTAACTTATACTCAGAGTAAGTTCCCAGCTGGCACATGACCGACCTTCAGTGTTGAAATATGGTTGAAATAAGGTCAGTTGTTGTTTTAACGTTGAAACAACGTTGATGCAGTGTTTAATGCTGAACGGTTGAAAACCAGCCGGCACATGACCAACCTTCAATGTTGAAAAATTGTTGAAATAATGGCAGTTGTTGTTTCAACGTTGAAACAACGTTGAAAAATGTTTAATGCTAAATGGTTGAAAAAGGTTAACAAAAACACTTGTAAATCAAAGTAGATTTTTTTTAATATAAGATCTGTATGTTGAATCAACTTAATGTCTTCAACAGCATACAAACGAAATGTCTGCCTTTTAAATTATTATTATTAAATTATTTAAGATCATTATTATTATTTTATTAGCATTTTACAATATTTTGATCATGAAACCTATTCTAAAATCTAAAGGTATATGTTAAATATTATCATCATTTACAACAGTAAAACCAAATACATTTCGCTGTGTTACCACGCTGAAACAATTCCTATTGGTTGTTTTACCTGATTGCTTTGATCATGATTGGTTAATCTGGCTGTCATCCAGGAAACTGGCCAATGAAACGGTTCGCACCTTTCTAAATGTGAAAATATGACCGTTATTATCGTCTTTCTGAGTGAGGCGCCTGACTGTGAGCTGCTGCTCATTAAAACTGCTCAGTCGGTCCCGAATTATTTTATATTTGTCTGTTAAATTTTTATTTTGAGCGAATTTGAGTTGTGACATGTCAACGGAGATCAAAAACTGGAATGTGAACACAAGAAGGGTCAGATGTGATCTGCGAGGTCCTGCAAACATACAGGCAAAATCAGGTAAGAAAATCGCTATCTTTACTAAATAACGTTACTAGAGTTTACAAATGGGTAAAGGACATGTAACCTGCAGAAGATAAATACCTGTGTGTGTGTGTTTTTGTATTGCTTTATCACAGATGCTAAAGTAAGATGTGTTAGGTAAGTTATGTGTTAATGTCTGTCTTTTAGAGATTTTTCCACATTTTCCTGATGTGAATGCCATGCATTAGGTGTGTTATATATTTTTTTTATCGTATAACAGTCTCAAAGTTAACATACTCTGTTCGTGTTTTCTGAATATCATATAATAGCAAATGTCGGTACAATTTAAATGAATTAAGATTGTTTAAAGGAACTTTAAAACAAAGGGAACTCAATATAATATTACCGCCCCTTAATCTGTAAATTTCCACCCACGGCGCCATCATTGTGTTTTCGCAAGCGACAACGGTGTACCAGCTCTAATGCCGTGGCGAAAGTTTGAGCAAAACATACTAACTGTTCTGCCTTTGTCTGCACAGACGAGCACAGAACACTATTTAGAACTAAAATAAACATGCGATTTATTTCCCAGTAGTTTACCTTCACAGACTTAACCGACTGTTTTTGTAACTCATGTGTGTTTTTAAAAGTAAACTTGTGTGTGAATGAGAACTTAGTTTAGTACTCACATGCTCTGTGGTGGCCGCTTTCTGTCCGTGCTTTGGATGTGTGCTCTCAGAAAACCTTATCTCAGAAGTTTAAACTCATATTGTTTAAACCCTACAAAAATGGCTTGATCTGAAAAGAACTTTTTTACACTACCATTGAGAAATTTTAACCAAACTATGTTACAGACTTTTCATTAAGACCCTAAAGAATCATATCAACTTGTGGAAAATGGGCATCCTATGACCCCTTTAAAGAAATGGTATAAAATGAAATCCTGCTTTTTAAGAACTTTTCATAAACCATTTCTTCTTTCCCCTTGTAGAGTCATCAAGGATCCAGCTTATTATTGGCAAATTGGTAAGGAATTGTTCATCTGCTACACTGCACTGTCACTTCTGGTAGAGATTCATTGACCTTTTGTGATAGGTTTTGATATTACTTGGTTTAATAAACATGTACTTAATTTGATTTAACTTGTTTTACTAAATACACTGTATAGTTAGGATTCTGATT